CAGGTTACTTAATAGATATAACGAAAAATAGAAAAAAAAAAGAGTAAAACAGGAAGATGTAATCATTATCCTCGTCATCTTCATCCTCCTTATCATTTTAATTCAGTCATCGTTTAAAATAAAAATTCTTTTTTAAAAAAAAGGTAAAACAATTTCACTAATTGATTATTTTTTTTCCTAGATAAAAAAAACTTTTTCTCCCTGAAGTGAATCAATCTATAAGAAAGGAGAGAGAGAAAAAAAGGTCATTTAAAGTGACAAATGTGTGAATACACTGTAGGTAAAAATTTAATTGAAATTCCAATCGTTTATTTTGTCTTTCTTCTTTGAATAGAAAAAAAAATCCTGAAGTAAAGCATTGATTCTTCGGTGAAAAAAAAAATCAATATTGAATAGATTAGGAGAAAATTTGGAAACATAATTATTTCTAATAATGAATGTATAAATTTAATTAAAACATGTATATGTATTTATTTCAATAAATAATTCACTTTATAAGATTGAGTTGCTAAGAAATTGATTAAAGAAAGTAAAGAAATTGAAGCGAATGATGATTAATTAAGCGGATATTTATATACTATAACTACATAGAAATAATGATTAGTTAAAAGTTGGTATGTGAATAGTATTTTTTTCTTTGTGCCTTGATTACTATCAGTTAATTAACTGTTTAATCAATTGAAACGTATATGTATTTAAAAAGTATAAACTTCTCACCTATACTTGAGTTTGTATATGCATAACTTATTAAGCGCTTTAATTAAGTTATTTAATAGACAGTGTTATTAGGTCGGTAGAAATTTGTTTATATGTTTGTATTATTGTTATCATGTTTGTATGATCATGAATGAGTGATCATGCATTTAAGTCTATACATATGTTTCTCTTACTAACTTATATGTTAGTTAATTAAATCACACGCCTCTAAAATCTCATTCATTTGGACTCATTCACATCCGTATTTACTCGTGTTTGTATGGTGTACGTGATGTTCTTTTAATTTATGCTGCACGTTAATAAACTATTGTCATCATATCATATCAAATTGCCTTCTGATATTTGTTCAACGTTGAAGAGTTATCTAATAACGGTTACCAGAACGAATGATGTACAAAGTATGGAAATTATCTCGAAAATACTCCACTACAGCAGTATGTGATAGTTATGATGAAATACTACCAAATTTAAAGTCATGTTCATTATTGAATAGATAGTGAACAACTGTGAATTCACCGTAAATATACAACAGATCTTTCAGTTGTATAAAAGTTGCTGTATATAACATAAGGACAAAATAACTTACACTCGTGTAATTGCAATTAGATAACCCAAAAACTCATCAACTCAATATCTCCTTTCTTTGTCTTTATAAGACGTCTAGGTTACCGACAGGTAGTTGATTTAAAAATACTTGAATGATTATTTAAACTTCACTTTCATATCTTATAGAATTATCATTCTTAAAGACATGCCAAGCTTATACATATGTCGATTAAATCGACTCTCCCTAACGGCCACTATTCTATGCTTTGCACAAGCGTCTTATTTAGATATTTTATGATAGTCCTAGAAAATCAAATATCCGTATACCGTTTACGGTTAGCATCCTGAAAAAAAAATTAGAAGATATACCTGTCGAAGTTTACATGAAATGTAGGGAGGGGATGTAGAATGAGAACATAATGATAGAAAAAGTGAAATACGGAAAATTATGCTAAGAATTTAGCAAAGAAAATCATTAGGTTGACAAAGAATAATGAGATGACACTAAGATTCAGAGTCAAACTGAATAAGAGGGTTAACTGGGTCTGCAGTATATTACGTAGTCCATTGGTTTGTATACGATTTTCTGATAAGTTATCATTTGTGTCTGCCCAGTTATTTTTTCAGGACGTTTGATAAATAGCCTCCTGACAACCAGAGCAACAATTAATATAGAAGCATAAAAAGTCAGAAGAGTTTGTTAGACCTAGAGGACCGTTCAATTAGTTGCAAAAATGAGAAGATAAAACCTGGGGGTGCTTGGAATAATGAAAATTCATTGGACACAAGCTGAATAAAAATATTACCTACGAGTGGTATTGTTGTATCCTATTTATGAAAAAGAGAATAGCTCATACACAAGGGTTTACATTGATGCTCTCCAAAGAAGAAGGATGGGAATCTTATGAATTCAGGACAATCAAAACGTCCTTCGAACCAAAGGAAAGGAATATAACGAGTGAAACTAAGCGCTATGCACCAATCAGTGATAGAAATCAAGACGATAAGCATCAGTTTTACATGAGGCTGTTGCGAATTGTAGAGAAATTTCAAGGAAAGGACCTGACCTAAATGAAAAGGTCGGAGTTGAAAACACCGGTTTTGAAGATATCATGGGATAACATGGGCTGGGAGAAAGAAACAGAACTGACGGGAAACATACAAATGTATTTGCTGTCAAATAATAGTTATAAGTGTTAACAATTTCCCCGCCAACACATACGCAAAGTTACATTGGCTTCACTGGATCACACTACAGATAACGAGATCGACCATATTTGCATCAAAAAATGTTCAGAACGTTCGTGAAAAACATGAGACCAATAAGAGGAGCTAATGTGAATCGAGAATACCACCTGGTACTGGTCAAGGTGAAACTGAAGCTAAAGAACCACTTGACAAATGGAGAAACAACACTACAAAATTTTAATATAGTCTTCCTACGAGATGTTAACTAACTCAACGTGTTCAAACAAATTCCATGCCCTACCAGTTCTACTCAGAGAAGCTAAAACCAACATGAAAAAACAAACGAAAACGGATTGAAGAATTTCTCAAACATGCCAAGAAATCCTGGGTCACAAAAATCACCAACATAAAGAGTGGATCCCTACTAATACCATGAGAAATATTCAAAAAAGAAGAACAAGAAGACACCAATCAATAACAGTCAAAAAGGAGAGAAGAAAATCAAGACACATGTCAAATACATGGGAGCAAACAAACGAGTGAAGAGAAGCGCTATATCTGACAAAAAGAAATATGTATACGTACTGACAGCAACAGTGGGAAAATCTTCAAGAGAAGAAAATTTGAGAGGACTATATAATACAACCAAGAATCTTGCAGGAACATATAGCAAGCCAGAGCAATCAGTTAGGGACAAAAATATCAAACTATTCACTGAGATTCAAGAACAGGGAAAAAAAGTGGGTAGAGCACTTTGAATTGTTCTTGAATAAACTAGCTTCTGTGAACCCAAAAGACATCAAAGCAGCAAATACAGTCCTCCCTATAGATGTCCCTCCAGGATAGCCATCAGATAAATGAAGGTTGGGAAAGCATTGTGACCAAATAACATACCGGCTGAAGCACCGTAGTCAGCCTTAGAGGTAACGTCAAAAGATACTCCATATCTACTTCAGGAAGATTTAGGAAGGAGAATAAGTAACAGCAGATTAGAAAGAGGGATATGTAGTCAAAATATCAAAGAATAGTTATATTAGTTTGTTCGAGAACTAGAGAGGGATCACATGTCTATCAGTAGCAGAAAACGTTTTAGATAGAGTATTGTTGAACCGAATGGAAAATTCAGTGGACGCCCAAATTCAAAACCAACACCTTGGATTCCGTAGTGATCGATCGTGAAACTACGAATCATTTCTGAACAATAAACTGAATGGAACTCATTACTATATATCAACTTCCTTGACTATGTGAAAGCAAGTGATAGAGTGGATAGAATAAAATTATGGGACTTCCTTCAGTACTATGGTGTAACTGTGAAGATCGTCAACATGCCACAGAATATATAAGATGGACTATACTGCCAAGCTGTTCATTTACAGTTCACAAATGCATTCTAAGTGAGGTCCAGTGTCAGACAATTTTGCGCATTCTTTCTCTTCACCGTTCCTGCTCAAAATTGACTAGATTATGAAAACTTATACATTACAGGGGCGAAATAGATTTCATTAAAATTCTTAATTCTTAATCAGTGACTACTTCCTACTACATGTGCCATTATATGTTTGACAACTGTTATTTTTGATAAACATCATCAAATTGCAAATAAAGTCTTCATATTGATTATCCGTTAAATTAGAAAAATGTTGTCATTCTCAAATTCGAAGTACAAACCTTTGAGCATATAACTAAGATAAACCATCCATTTATGATAGTAAATGGAATGTTGAAAGGTCAGAGGAGAAATCAAAAGATCTCGATTAAACATCATATGATAAAACATTTTTATATTTACATTTTCACTCAATATTCCATATGAAAGAAAAATGTTGAAATTATCAAGCCTCACTAAGTCTATATTAATCATTTATTTTCACATTTCATAGAGTAGTCATAATATAAGTTTGCAGTTATATGATCGTTCCCAATACCTTTTCTTTGAATCGTTCATTTGAAAATCTCATCAAACTAAACTACCATTTCATATCAGATCAATCATTAACATTACTAAACTAATTTAATACTCTATGATATAAAGAAAATAAAAGTGTTAAATATAGAATGTTTGCAATTTTTATATTAGTAAATGTGCAAACTATGAAATAGATTGATAGAAATGTACTTTCTATTAACTCATATTCTTACTAATACTATACACTTCATTTGAATATGATAATAGAATAAAAATAAAAAAACAGTGAAGTAATAAATCATCTTATCTTACAGCTATTCAATATTATCAATTTACTAGAGGATACCATATAAGTAATTTTTTGTTGTTGTTGTTGTTGATACTATTATATAAATAAGTATACCATATAGTTCTGATAATCATTGTCTGCTTGTTACACTAACGAAATAAGTAAATAGAACAAAAGGTATTTTTGGATTTTTTTGTTGAAAAGAAATCTAAATTGCCGTAAGCTTTACGTTTACAATTCATGTAACCAAACAAAGTTATGTAATTATGACATATTATGTAATCATTTTTTAAAACTGCTTTTGGCATAATAAACATATATAAAAAATTTAAAAAAAAATTTAAGACTTACTTTAAAATTTGCCTCTAGTACAATAGCAACTGGTGCACTCATAACAGATAATAATAAATTATGTATTTGATAAATTAATTTTGCTAATAAATCTTTTTGTAATGTACTACTAGCATCTAAGCATAAAATGAATCTAGTTTGTTGTGTATTAGTAAACCGATCAAATGTAACCGATAAATTACAAATTTTAGCAAATTCTGATTTAATAAATAAATCTGCTTTACATGCTCTTTGTTCTTCAGCTGTTATAGCTAAATCTTTAAATGATGTTGAACTAGAATATAATACAGCTTCATTAATTTTTCCAATTGATTTTGAATTAAAAAATTCTTTATCTATATCATTATTAGTTTGTAAAAATGATGTTAATGCAGTTTTTACAGGTGTAATTGGATTAATTAATAAACCTTTCATTATTCTTAATAATGATGGTAATGATCCAACAAAACTAAGAAACATTATTGAACTCATGATGACAAATAATGAAAGTAAACCACCATGTCCAAGTAATTTAGCTAATTGACCTGAGTATAAACGCATGATACTAGTAGAGATAAGGAATGCAATCCAAAAAGCTATCATTACAACAAATGCAGGTAAACAGCATACACGTTTATATTTAATATTTGGATTTCCTATTTTAAATTATAAAGAACAAAAAAAGAGAAATATAAATTATCACAACGAGGATTTCTTGAGTTTGTAGTATATTTAACATTTAAATTCATCAGTTCATCTTAGACCATCACTGAAACGCTGGAAGCAGTGAAAATCTGTTTCTTTCCAGTATACAACTACTCAGTAATGAGGGTTCAGAATCGTGTATGAGCGCTGTCGAGAAGTTCCATACTGGGACGAAACGGTCATTCATTATTTCCAGGTTCTCAGTGATGGTCTAGCTTTGATCGAATCATGAATTCAACTGTTGAAATATAAATTATACATGCAAATTTGTTAAAATATCTCTAGCATTGTTATTGTTCAAGCATATAGTTTGTAGAAATTTTTGAATTGAAATGTTCGAAATCCATATTGTTATCATTTAAACTGCATTTGTGAATTATGGAAACTAAACTTAGGAGTTATACTTTTGTACTTTTTAATTTATTGCTGAACAAAACTTGTTTCTATTATAGTTGAAAGGTCAAGAAAATGTGGTGGGGAGAATATATATATATATATATATGGGTTGGTAAGTTATTATCATTCGAGTGAAATTAGGTAAACGTAAACAACAAGAGACATTGATATAATATCTGCTGTGATAATAGTCTTGAAGCTGGGTTAGGGACATCTTTTAATAAGATTGCGGAAATAAAGATAGAGGTGAGTATTAAGTGTTTACAATACGTATCTCATGTAAACAATAATTATTAGGAATAGGATATCTACCCCCTATAGTTGATTAGAGTATAACATAGTGGCAATGATGATGTTTCTGGATATAGACCACATTTCTACAATCCGTTTTTTATAACTTTGCCAAGTAAAAGGGAAGTAGTATTATCAAAGATTTTATATTAAATATATGATGCTTTGTCTACCCAGTTGTAATGCTCACATTGTACTAAAAGAAATGCAATTATGTTATATTTAGACACAAAAACTTTTACAAGTTACATAGATAAATGCTGAAAGGCATGGTGTGTCTTCAGTACATGATATGGTTAAGAAACTGAATGGTATGTATACTTCAAAGTAAATAAACTTCCAAAAAGAGAATTTATCTGAATAATGAGATAATCTCATTAGAATTCTAGAAATTATCATTACAGTTGTAATAATCAAATGATAATCAATTATATTCACAGCAAATATTTTGAAATACAACTAATGTATTTGTCCTCTACCGAAATAATGAAATACTTGAATAAGACAACTTGGTGAACATTAACTGTAACCTTCTATTTAATGAATAATATCGGTAACTTTGATGTTAATTAAAGAAAAAATTGAATACATTCTGTAAGTTTTGATCTAATTTCACCAAATTTAACTATGAGATAATAAAACAGTTAATTAGCTTATGACTAACGGAAACATAATAAATTTTCATGATGGAAATTCATTTGTTGCCCTTAAAATGTTACTTACTTACTTACTAAGGCTTCTTACTCCAAATGGATCATAGACCGCCAACTAGCATTCTCCAACACACTCTGTTATAGGCCTTCCTTTCCAGCTCTATCCAATTTTTGTTCATTCTTTTCATGTCTATCTCCATTTCTCGACGTAATGTGTTCATTGGTATCCCTTTTCTCCTTTGGCCTTGAGGGTTCCAAGTGAGGGCTTGACTTGAGACGAATTTAGGTGCTTTCTTCAGTGTGTATCTTATCCACTTCCAGCTCTTCTTCCTGATTTCTTCCTGCGCAGGGATCTGGTTTGTTCTCGCCCACAGTAGGTAGTTGCTGATAGTGTCTGGCAAACGGATCCGAAGTATTTTTCCTAGACAGCTATTACTAAACACTTGTATCTTCTGGTTGATGGCTTTTGTAGTTCGCCAAGTTTCCGCCCCATACAGTAGAACTGTCTTGATATTTGCATTGAAAATTCTGCCATTGGTGCTGGTTGACAGTTTTAAGTTCCAGATATTCTTCATTTGTAAATATGCTGCTCTTGCTTTGCCGATTCGCGCATTCACATTTGCATCAAGTCCACCGTGTTCATCAATGATGCTGCCCAGATATGTAAAGGTTTGTACATCTTTCAAATCTTTTCCGTCAAGTGTGATTTGGTTGTTGCATGTTGTGTTGTATCGGAGAATCTTGCTTTTCCCTTTGCGTGCGCGATAGAAGGTCCAGGCCTTTAAAATATATTGACTACATTTTCCAATTAAAATTATTCATTCCATATACAGAAACAAAGTTCAACTCTAATTCACTTGAACATTTAAAACTTTTTTTGAATTCATATAATTGTTATCAAGAAAAAAGACTATGTTTTTCAAATTCAAATTTCATTTAAACCATGATCAAGATTTCTAACAAAACTAGATATATTTTCTTCCACATAACTACTGTTCAATTCGATGTATTATACGAATATTTGATTAGATTTATCAAATGGTTTGAGCATTTAGTTTTTATTATATTCATATGAAAGTTGATTGAGTTCTACTAATTCTTGTTCAAGTGATTATCATATTCATCAAATGTTAATTAACTTGATATATTTGATAGACTTATTGTTTATGCTTAAAATCATTTTCATTTTAGTAACTAACTGAAATATTAAGATATTCCGTATTTTATTCAAAAACATTTCGGAGCTTTATCCAAAAAGAATCAATACTAGTTTCAATAGGCCAATTTGTACTTTTCTTCGAGAGCTAATTAATAAAAAAATTCAATAGAATACTTACCAGAAGGTTTTCCAGCCCTCTGGAGTCTGATTAAAATTTGTCCATAATGCCGAACTAAACCAAACCACATTTTTTCAATTAATGAAAATAACGCCATATTTGTTGTTGAAGACGGGCATATCCGATGATATACAACAATAACTCTATTAAAAACCATATAAACAAAATCAGTTGAATAAAATATGGAACATACTAATTCATTAAAAAATATTAAACGTAGATCTGAAAGTGCTGAACATGATCTACTGATCAGTTGGTTATTTTAAGTGATTTCTATGATAGGTGATTAAGAACATTCAGTAGAAAGCCCTTGACTTAACTTTTGTGCAACATATCATTCAGCAACGTATGATATCTACAATCACAATGATCCCAACTGGTGAAACACCTGAGCCACTTATTTTTTCACCCACACCACCTAATGTACTATACTGTAGTATTTTAAGTATATCATAACCAATTATGTGTGCATTAAAAAGCTCAATTAGCTCAATCAGCTCAATTGTTAAAAAATGCGCTACAGCTGTTGGTTGTGTATCTAGATTAGATATCTTTTGGTGTAGTTAGAATCAAGCAAATTAGAACTTATACGTTAAATATAACGTGATAAAAATAAGATCCGGATATTAAACTTAAACGGTTGTGAAAAAACGAATGACTACTTGTAAGTTAAACGGATATAAGACGGAAATCTGTCATAAAAATGTGCAACGCTGCTGAGACTTATATATATATATATATATATATATATATATATATATATATATAAATTAAGATTTTAGTGATAGTTTTAAATGGTACTTTGTATAACTTGGGAAACACGATTAACTTTCATGAAGTTTCAATGTGTTCTTTGAATCTCAATGCTTAATACCTCTTTCATAGTATTACACATTTTATCCTTATTGAATTATTATCTGAAAGAACAAATTAGCTTACTATAATCCTATAACGTTATCACTACAACCCAAAATTTGTTAACAATTAATCTTTTCATATTTATGATAGATCTTAGTGCTTATCAATCAAACAATGTCTATAAAATTATCTGACGTTTCTTAAATACCAAATGACAAATTGACATAAAAATCTTGTATTTGGTTTTAATTCTTAAAGAATCACATAGTGTTTTTCTTTTTTTAGTTGGAATTAGTGAATATTACAAATCATATTTTGTACAGAACAATGTTTGATTGATTACACAATGAAAAATTGTAGCCAGAAGGAAATTCTACACAAGTTAATTGTAACGTAATGACTATGAGCCAACCAACCAACAAAAGAAGTTAGAAAAAGAAAAAGAAGACTAAGAAAATTTTAAGAAATAACAAAAGTGAGTTTTGTCTGAATCAGTAAAAAAAGAAATCAAGTTTTCATTTCATAATTGATACCGATTGATTAACTTTGATTTCTCTCAAGAGATTTGATACTTGAAGATAATTTTACTCTTCAAATAATAATTTAAATCCTTTTTTGACAGTTTAAATTTGTAGGAAAGTGCTTTTCATTTTTTTTCCAAACAAAAAAGGGAAAAACTGATGTGGTTTAATCTTGTGAAATTTTAATTGGTTAGAAAAAGAAACTAAACGTACTAACAACTATTCAACTTAGAAACAGATTTTGTTTTTTTAGTAAACAAAAAAATCAAGTTTCTTGCTTGTTCTCTCGAATACAAAGATCATATTGTTCAGTGGGGAATTTGTATGTTTGTTTGCACAATGTCAGCTAATGTCCTCATACAATAATAACAGTGTATCTTTTTATTTATTTACATTTAAGCATGATCTTTTTTATTAGAGAAAAATTGAAAAATCTATCAGGTTAGTTTATAGCAATTTAGAAATATATATATATATATATATATATATATATCGATTGCTGAGATATCCATGAATATAAAGTTTTAAATTAAGAAATTTCAGTGTCGGATCGATCATTCTTTGTTATAACAGTAAACATACTTAAAGAAAAAAAGTATTTCTTAACTTTCCTATATTAAATAGCTTGAGAACTTAAATGAAGAAGAATGTATTTATAAAATGTCAGTGAAAGAATTTGAAGTAAATTCAACGTTTTGCCTGGTAATCTGGTTCAAGCCTTTTCAAGGGAATAGCTTGAGAACTGTTTGAATATACACGAGAAATATAAAAGATCTGACAGTTTTGGTACTAAAGTAAAATGACTTAAATTTTTTTAGATTTGATAGATATTATAGATATTGTTATTGAAATAAAACGTAAGATGAGGTTCAGAAAAGTATGATACCTTTTATTAGGACAAATAAAAAGCAACGTATTTATTTAGTGACTAATTTGTCATTCGGATACTTTACCGATTGTGCTGGATACAGAGAGTTTTGTTTATCTATTGAAAACATTTACTACCTGTAAGCTGTTATACAAGTTTTGAATTTAGATGCAGTTTATTTTGATTATATTTGCATAATATTATTAAGTGAAGTTACGGAATTAAATGTTTTAAAACTGTAAAGTTATTCATCAACTTACCTGACTGGTGTTTTAGTATTTATTGACTTGACAGGATAACAAAAACAGATATTTAAAAAGAGTTTAATCCATTGAAGAAAACAGGCTATTGAATAGCTGGCACGTATAGCAATTGGTTTTTGACAAAATCGAGATCCTGTTATGATCAATGCTAAAATAAATATAAATAAAATGTAACATGATTGTATAAAGGCTAGTCATTGACTTTTATCTTCACATTATTTTTAACAGATAGAATGCGTAGACGGGAAAATATGAATAAAATAGTATCTGTTCCTGCTTCTTCATATCTGTTTATGAGCATTTAATTATGATCACGTATAGTTGCTAGGACAGTTTTATTTAAACAAATACAACCTCAGTCAGCTTTAAAACAAAAGTATCTTATAGTTAGTCAATTTCTGATTTACTCTAAAATTTTTTAGTAAATCATAAGTTACTTGCATTAACTCTCCATCACTTTCCTTGATTGAAATGTGTCAGTTCGTTTGATAGTATCTTATATATAGTTGTTGATTTTGTGAAGGTAATCTGGTAATTAACTGCCTTTATTTAACTATGATTTAATTCGCCATCAAAAGTAACAATATTTAAGCTTTCATGCAAAATAAAGAGAAAATATAATGTACGCCTTGTAGTTTTACAACTAAACAGCAGTTAATAATACTAAACTTCATTTCTTCAGTAATTTTCTAGTGGTTTGGTTTCGTTTTCAATATTCAGTTCCTTAAACTAATCTTTTAAAATGAATTAAAATAAATAATCTAGTCTTCAGGATAATCAGATAATTGAAAATGTATTATTGAAACACTGAATGACATTTTTCCATAGTGAAAAGTAAAACTGTCAATTATGTTTTTGGTTGAGATCATAAACCGATTGACGTTAGACCACCATTGAAACCTGGAAGCACTGGACAGCCGTTTAGTCCTATTGTGGTACTCATGAGTAGTGCACATGCAAGATCACAACGCCGGATTCGAACCCAGGGACTTAGGTTTCACTCGCGAACGCTTAACCTCTAGACCGTTGAGCCGGCATCCAAAGATGTTAATGTCTAACCTCAACAAACCCACGAAACTGAGGTAGATACTTGTCTCTACCTGACATAGATTAGCTCCGTTGGTCACGGCTTTTCACTAGAACTCCGAGAATTCCCTTAAGAAGCTAGTCACTAGTGAGCACATAGTAATTATAAGTATGGGGTTGTGAAGATTATCAAGTTTTTGATTGAGCTCATTGGTTGAGGATGGACATTAACACTGTTCGATGCCGAATCAATGGTCTAAAAGTTAAGTGTTGACGCGCGAGACCTAAGTCCTCGGGTTCGAATCCGGCGTGTGTGATCTTGCATGCGCACTACTCATGAATACCACAATAGGACTAAACGACCGTCCAGTGCTTCCAAGTTTCAATGGTGGCCCAGCATCAATCAGTTCATGATCACAATCAAAACTTAATAATCTCCACAACTACATACTGTTAACAATTACATTGTTAAAATGAGCTGCTAAAAAGAAATACGAATTTTTCATTATTGTGACATTAACAAAAATAATCGATTTATTTAACAAGTCGACTGATTGCTTATAACATCAGATATATCTTTTATATACACTTTGAAGTTTACAACCGATTAATGTAACAATGATTCTCTAGCAATTGATAACTGATAAATCATAACTTATTATCATTAAGTACAGTCATAAATGTCCTTTATTTTATCTCTAAAAGTGAAAGAAAATCAAATGTGTAAATATGAAACGAAATATTATCAAAGATTAGAAGTTCATTAAATCTTATTGACTATTATAATAATTATTACTACTATTATGTTCATAATTCTATGTCTGATAATCTGATTAAGTCATGCATTACTGGGTCACGAAATAAACGCATGAGAAAATCTACAGTGAATAAACAGTAAATTATTAGTTTAATTAAACATCCATACATTAATTTTTCTACTTAAAAAAATGATTGTTTTTTTTCCTACATATGAAGTTCACTTGAGGAAACAAAAACAAAAGCTGGATAATAAATAATAAAATAAAGAGTAAGATGAATCTAATAGTGAAAATATTATTATACCTATTAATGTTATCAATATAATCATGAAAGAGATGAATCATAACTAGCAACAACCTTTTGCCTTGGTTAGAACTCATCAACTGAATATATCTGTCTTCATCTTAATCCTCACAGTACCCAATATCTCTCATTTCAAATGCCCATCACGTTATCCACTAAGTTAATAAGTTTAGACAGTCATTTATTTATGGAGTGGACATGAATTTTCAAACTTATTTGTAAATGTCATTTCACAGTTAGTATTGTTGACTGAAGTTGAGTTCCACCGCTAGTTACAGCTCACCTCTTCTATAAAACTTGTGACACAATAAATATATCTTGAGAACTCGTTCACGATGCAAGTCTGCTAACTAAAAAGATCAAAATTCAATCAAGAATATCAACAACGCAATTACATAAACATTTACAAAATAAATTATCACTTGGCGATTTCTATCATTCTATACATTGGTTGGTAAAAAAGGTAATGTAATACAGACGGGAGTAAAATTTTCTTCCAGTCAGCTATGAACTGTAAAACAAAAGTTTACTTGCTTTTGAACGACTTATATTTAAAAAAATTGAAACTCTCTTACGATAGAAATTTTATTACTCTTATTTATTTCAAAAGTTGGTTGGCTTAGTGTTGAATCCCCTTCTCTCTTCATAAATGAATAACCTTTTTTAAGAAAGATAAATGTAAAACACTAAAGAGCAGAGATGAATATGTTTGTATTGAATACATTTAATGTGTTAAATATCTACTGAGGCTGACGAATACAGTGTGACTATTAAACGTTTTCATAAAAACGTAGCAATGAATTAATGTTTCGATTGACGGTACAACCAACGATACAACCAGAACAAAGTAGTAAATAATGACAGGTTCAAGGTCAACAAGAACCAATCAACATCGAGGTGTACAGGACAAGCTGTGAATCACACGTGGAGAAATTCGAACACTTCACTTATACCTGAAGTTTGTGCTGATGATGTCGTTCAGAAGAACGGTGAAAGCTACATGACCAAATCATCCAGCTCAGAGAATAAAACTTCATCAAAAAGTCTAACGGCTACTACAGTAGTGACACCAGAATACTGTAGGATTTACAAACAATTTGAATTCGCCCATTTCTTTCAACTCAATAAACTATTTGCCTCCTTTATATTATATTATTACATTGTATCGATTTAAAGTCCCACTTCATTCAAAAACAGGTGCCTAATCTCAGCATACATTTCTCCTTAATTAATTTATTTTATAAGTATTCTTCAGGTGACTTTTTTCATCTATGTAATATATAAAGTACTCATACAGGTTATAAGTTATTCATGGAATATGTTAAATCTCAGTCACACGTCAATACGGTGACGACTAATGACTCTCATATTTCCTAAACATAATGTTGATATGATAGTATGTAAGCTAAACGATTCGGACTCATTATATGTATATAACATTCACATTTATTTTCTTTTAATAAAAATAAATTCTTTAAAACTGAAATTTAATTAGAACTTCTAAATATCTATGTAATATACAGATATATTGTTACCTTTTAAAATAGAGGCAAGGTATTTTCCTTTCCACGAAAACAAAATTTTGTTTACAAATTATGAACACTATATATCACAAACTGATTTTAATTATATGCTTAGACCACTAGATACTGGCCTTGTCACTTGGAGATTCGGCTCTCGCTTTCAGTCTTGAAAGGTCTGAGTACAATTTCCTATCGGATATTTAGTGAGTACATCTGAAGGGTTCCATAGTAAAATGAAATGATTATTTACAACAACTGTCTAACTTAAGTGAGTTCTTGGTTTCGCTTAAAATTTATTACAAAAAATCAAAATAACCTTACTCGAATTACCAAGGTTTAGTATTACAGTGCAGTAAAAAACAGAAATATGCCGCACTAATTAAACTGATTCAATAAGTAATGAACGACATCGGACGTCTTGTTTATATAAATTGTCAAAGAAGATTCCATTTCAGTAAAATATATTTAAAAAATCTGGTCGATCTGGGAATGGGAATATTTCAATTTATATGTACTTGAATATTAAATTTCTGGATTTTCATAAATATTAATAAGACTAAAAGAAAGTTATAGTAATAAAATGATGTTGCTGGAGTAATAGTTTATGTGAAATATTTGTCTAACAAGCGTTTATTTCAATTTTCGTTTGCCTATAGAATTGGATCAGAATACAATTTTGTCAGAATGAGGGTCTGTGGAGATCATAATAATTTAATGATTTAATTTCCTGAGTGGATTTAAGCTAGGCTACCATGGAAAACCTAGAGCCACTGGACGACCGTTTCGTCCTAGTATGGATCTCTTCAGCAGTGCTCATCCATTATCCGACAGTAGATAATTTTAGTGTCTAAGTAATAAAATAATGTTTGATGAGTAATATGGTAAGTTGATAACAGACTCCAATAATATTACTGAATAAAATGCACACGATGAAATTTTATAGTCAAAGTATTTAATTCACTAATTCGATCAACATTTTGTGATTTTACCCTCCACTGTTACAGCTAGGATGTTAAATAATAACAACTAATGAGAATCAAAGATTTTCATAGATTGTCCTATTATTCTAAACTAATAACCGGGTATTTGACCAAATGTTCATGGAATTGGCAAACAAATTTATTTAGCTTATCTAAAAACTTCCAATATATCTATGTATTTAAAACACTACATATTACGGAAGCATGAATATTGACAAATACCTTTAAAATTTGAGCTTCACTTAAATTTAAAAAAGGTCCTGTATCAGTTTCCAACTTTATTATAGAAATTCTCGTTCTTATTACTTTAATGCACTTTATCTACTACTATTCTTGTAGTCAACAGCATACAAACAAAATATTCCTTCTAAACTCTGAAGAAAATGTAGTTTAATTAAATTTACTATTTTTTAAAAATAAAAAAAGAACAAATTAATTTTTTTCATTATATTTTCTAATCACTCTAAGCGACTATTCAAACTATCCAATAATCATTGGTTTAAATTATTTAGAAATATTGCATATATTGTCTCATAAATAATTAGATTTATTTTAGG